TTGATTTTGAGTTGGTATTCATCACCTCAAAATTAAATCCCCATAAACCTCAAGATCGAATTAATCTAGTGCTCATTGGTGACTAGCTTCTAGAAGTGATTCTCGAAGTTCCAGTGGGGCAAACCTGATGGAGGTGAGAAAAAAATACTCAGCGATGAAAATGAGTGATGGTCGTGCTATATCGTGAACTGACAGAAGTTGGAAATATGGACCATTGGATTCCGACCCGATGGCTCAATAGTAACATGCTGGTTATGGAGCCTGGAGGTCCTGGGTTCGATTCCTGGCGGGATCGTGGGTGCACACTGCTGAGAAGCCTCTTACTAGGATGAAGCAGGTGTTTGGTGCCCTCAGGCTTCCAATATTTCTTCAACTGATGTTATTTTGATGATATTCTTAGTATAATTGTCCCAAGGGGAACAACATCACTCACTAGGAGGCAGGTACATCCAGCTGACGAGTCCCAAATAGAACGAAATGCGCATCCTGGATACCACTGCTAGCTACTATCCATCATTACTATAGATGTTATTCTTAGTTAGTTGTTTGCAGGCAATGGAAGATCTATACTAAGTGGTTTCTAAAATTTTATTGATTTGTTAGTCTTTCGATAAAATAAATGTCTGCCACTTGGATATTTTCATATTCAAAGTGCTGAAACCTTACTCAAGAATGTACTTAAATTAATAAAGATTATTTCAAAATTAGATGTTATGAGTACATAGGTATGAGGCTGTAGTTCACCTGGTTCTCTTCACTTTTCGCACTCATCAGCAATATGTTTACTATGTTGTGGTGCACTACTGTGTTGTTTATTATTTAGCTATGGCTGATTATATCAAACAATCGGTTTCCATCTAGTAGATTGTAGGTTTGAACCCAATCTGACCGAAATAGATTGTAGAAATTATAAAATAAAATTAACCTTCATGTAGTAAATTTATCTCATAGCCCAGTGCATATACTTGGACTTAGTCTGTGAGTTTCATTGAATTATTCAATCTACTGATTTTAGTATTTATTCCGATCAGCAGATTTCAATTGGTAGTGAAGTCTCATGATGTGATGCTGACTAATTCATAATTATCAAATGATTTAATTGACTTGTGGTTAAAGTTCATTCGTACCCATTGAAAGATAATTAAACAAACACAAATTTAGGAAATTTATCTGAACTAGTTGGTAAATGATTTGTAGATAAGATGTTTCATTTATGCTAAGTGGGTTCTTTCCATTGTAAAGATTATTTATCTTTCAAATCACAGAAGTGTGTTACATACTTATTTGGGACATATTACTCATTGATTACATCACTGTAATACATTGCAGTCATTTTAGGGTTTCAGTTCATTTTTACCACCAATACTTTCTGTGGATGGTACAATAATGATCAGTAGCATATGAGATCATTCACTGAAGTTTGAATTGAGAAAGCTTGGATTTCCTGACTAAATCATTAAGTCGTCACTTGGTTTTCTAGTGGACAATGCACTGGCATTTGGAGTGGTCGTTGTCACGTTTGAGTTTTTGGTGGAAGCAACATCACTTACCGGGAGGCAGGCACATCCAGTTGACCAATCCCAAACAGGATGAAACGCGCATCTTGGATTCAACTGTTAGCCACTATGAATCGTTAATGTAAATCACTACGGCCCTACTTCGCTATATTTCAATCAGCTTTTATGATCGGATTAACATCATTCCGATCGCAACTGATGCTTCTTCTCTTCTTACTGATACATGAAGTAAAGAAAGCCAGGTGACTGGTTTATATCACAGTTATTTATTATTATCTAAAGCTAGATTTATAACAGATGTTTGGTGGAAATCAAACATCACATACAACACTTAAACAAATTTCATTTCATTCTGCTTTCTTTGTCTTGAACAAAAAGACTTTACATCTATAGAAAGGTCAGTCAAACTGACAGTTTTACCAGCCGAATGTATGTGGTCTTGCTCTAGTTGTTTTCATTTAAATTAAAGGTTGTTTAATTAAGGAAAATATTCATCATCTCTGGGGATTAAAATTTCGCCTAAAGCAAATCATTTCTTCAAATAACCAAATTATAATTTCGATTCTAATAAAGACGAATGTGAAGTTTTCTTTTACGGTTAACAATCTATCTGTATATATAGAAAATTCACTTTTCAGCTAGTCAGCTGCAACAAACTATGCGGAAACACAAACCAAATAGTAAGGCCATCTAGACTGCTAGGATATATGCGATGCAGGTTAACCAATTAGGCTTAAAGGTAAATTAGGAATAAATCAATACATCTCAGCAACCAAGTACACGTTTGTGTGCCAGATAGTCAGTCATTTTCATTATTTTAACGGCCATCTATACTGTCCAGTTAAACGGATCGGAATAGGCACCGCGTGTATGAACGGGTTAGACTAAATGGCTACATTTGTCGATATGACACGTAGAAGCCTGTAAGAAAAGTGCAATATATTTGAGTTTATACTTATCGTTATGCACGATATATCTGTTGTGGTCCTCAAGGTTAAAGTGATTTAAAGAGAACCAGGGTGCATTTCCCACTACGGACTTAGAATCAAATGATAAATACTTCTCATGAGCATGAATGAAGGGATTGGATGGGGTCGTTATTCAGCTACTTATCCCCCTGGTTGTCTCTAGATATCACATCAGATAGGATAGAGTATGAATATGTACTGGCTGAAAGCTCAGTGAGGTAGGTGCAACCACATCAGATAAACACGTAGAATAATGTCCACCCTGCATGGAAGTGAATCCGTTTGAGTTGTCACAGTAGTAGAACACAAACAACGGGAAAATAGGAATACGACAGTATGTTATAAAATATTTTAAATGATATGAGTGTACAGAGAATAAAAAGACGAAGATCAGTATAATGTTCAGAGCTTTAGAAACGATAAAAACAGAATACATTTGCTTCTCTACCATTTATTTTAAACTATGGCAGTGATAATCTCTAGCCATTTATTACTAACATCTTGAGGATCTCGAAGAGACAGTCTGCACTCCTCTGCATAGTTGAGACCAGTCGACAAAAATCTCATGTGCTGCTCATATCTCTTAATCTAGTTACTGTCAGCCTTCTACTGTTTTAATCCTTTTCCTGATGACATCGTATACTAAAGAAAACGATGAGCCAGTATGTAACACATATTTAAGTCATCTGAGTTTCTGGACGTTCACAGAATATCAGCCAATCTTTATGTTTTGCCTAGTAATATGCACTTAACCGTCGGCGATGCTTAGTCTGCTGTTCTGTCATAAGACTTTAACTTCCTCATATCTTCTTTCAATGACATTTCTCGGAAGCACTTAAAAGAGAGCAAACAATAGTATAGTATAGTCTCATATAAATCATGAAGTATTTGCGACAACGCATACAGATCGGTGTTAAGCATGATTCAACACCATTCATAAAGTGGTGTTTGAATGTAAACACGAGAAAACATAAATAGCAGGTCAACCGAAAGACCATTAACATAAACAGTATCAAATTTTACTACCAGTTACTGTCATGATCATGGGTGAGCACAGCTAATGAGTTCTGTAGTACAACGAAACAGCTGTTCAGTGTCCTGCAGTTTTAGATAGTTTTCCAACTGATGTCACTTCCTGATGAAAACAGACTTAATGGCAAAGTATCATCTATCAAACAGCGTAGGAATTCAGCGGTCCTAGGACAAATAGTTTTTCAACATTTGTGCCTAACATCTATGTACGATGGGAGACATTTTTAGGTAGTTGGAGGTAATCGATACGAAGCTTAGGACCAAGGTTTTGTAATTTCAGTCGCACTGCAGCAAAGTAAGACAGAGAAAACCACCATCCCCACTGTTGAGACTAGACATGCTAACACTGAGTTACATTAAGGCTTGCTGCCCCCCCACCCTCACCTTCATACAGTCCTTCATCGTTATTTGTTGTCTGAAGGTCGGATTATGAAAATCTTGATCACATCTTTATGTATCTTGAACATTTCAACCAATAATTGTTCTGGAAGCTGAATGTTATTATATATACACAGACAGTAGCTTCAATCTTTTGGTATTTATTCATTTTGGAATAGTTAAGATTCGACCACAGCTAGTTAAGTGTATCATGCTGCGAGCAAATTAATACCAGATAGTATTACAGTAAACTCGTGCCCATACTCACTTTACGATTTCCACACATTATCACCAGTACTGAGGATGCGTACCAGAAATAGATTTCTGGTGAAGTGAACTAATTTTGTTACTTGCCGTAGATTTACACTTGTTGGGTTTACACATTTCAGAGTACTGAAGTAAGTGGCAACACAGTACACAGTTTTTCATTTCCTATGGCTTTTGTGGCTTATGAGTGATGCCAAAGTTGTTAAGTAGTAGAAGCAGCATCTCTAATTGTAAGTGTTAGTTTAAAAGTAGAAACACCACTGAAGATTTTAGGATAAATTCCATTCGCATATCTGGCTACAAAGCTCTGGTCTTCTGTTCGAGACTTATCTTGGGGTTGACTCATGGAACCCATTCACCATTTATATGCCATCGTTTTTGAGTAATGATAGGCAATTATCATTCTTCAGTACCCAATCATTATAAAAGTTATTCAAACAGGGTGATTACGTCTTCTACATGATCGATACCAATTAACTCATATACCAGTTTTCCGCTGGTAACCCTAACCATTTGTTTACTAATCATATTCTGTTGTAAAATCATGTTTACACGTGTTCTAACTACGATTTACTTAGTTTCAGTAGACTTGTTTATGATAACTAACATAAACCAAGAAGACTGTGAAAAATTGACCTGAAGGTGGTACTTAACAAGAATTTTTGTTTAAAACTAACAAAAGTCGAATAGTAAGGAGGTTCATCGAATACTGATAACATTTTAAAACACTGGGAGCTATGGGAATCTGCATGAAATCAACAACCTCTTGGACAAATTGTTTCACTAATTATTAGTTAGAATTTCTAGAGAGTATTCAAGTTAATAATGGATCACTTACCAAGCATTCTATCTCTACTCACTTGAGCCAAAGCTATCCCGAAAGAAGGTTGCCCTCTACCATCATACTGTTCAATATGCCATTCCCAGTAGTGAATTCCATCTGATAGGCCGATATCACCCAAGAGAACACGATCTTCCAGGTCTCCTTGAGCGCTGACAGTACATCCATCAGAAGTTAGTTTTAGGCCATTAATTGATGAAGGAGGTCCCGATGATGGGCTCATAACAAAAGACACAACTGTAAGAAAAAAAGGTGAAGATAAATTAGAAGACATTATTATTATTATCATTATTGTACTTATTAATGAGACTATTGAGGGGTTTTGATAGCAATGAAATAAAAAGATTTCAAGAACAGAACGTATTTTCTTCTATGACACATCATAAGAATATACTGAATTTCAGACTAAAGTTTTTATGTTGACATATAAATTCTTGGTCACATTACGATTATAAAAACGAAGGTCTTGCAAAAGAAATATTCGAAATTCGAGTTCAGTTTAATAGGAATAGCCGTATAGAATGATCTTTATACAAGTTATCAAACAACTCAGAATTATGGAAGGCTTCTTTTGTTTTTTTTCCAAATAGTCTATGATTAACATTTTATGCAGATGATTCATTCAATCCATTCATAGTTGCATAATTTTGAATGAGTATTGAGTAACATTAGATCGAAACTAATGGACGTTCATCCATTGTATACCGAATACCATTAATAGTTATAAATAAATGAAAATTATTCATATCATATGCATCATTTCGTCAGTCACTTTGTGGGGATTTAAACGTCAAACAATTGTCTGATTAAATTTTGAAGTTGAACTTATGAGTTATGACTTAACCTTAACTATTGGATAATTCAAATTACACACTCATCATTAGCTAGTTGAAAGAACTAAACAAAATTAGAATTAAACAATGTACACATAGAAATCTACAAGCAGAAATGAGAACCATAATAAATGAGTCATTCTTTACCAAATTATAATTTGGTCCACTGTAGAAATTCGAGAGATACTCCAATAGATATGAACAGACTAGTTAGTCAGGAAAAGTTGTTTATTTATGCCATGGCTTATTAGTAAAGGATTTTTGATTATTCAGTAACTAATCCTTGTTTAAAACTCTTTCCGGAGACTTTGACGTTGGTAACAGGGGAGTTGCACTAACCCTAACCCATCAAATATGGCTCAAAGTGCAGTACTGAACCTTTGCTGGGTTGCTGAATAACATATTGAGTTTGTCTTTTCCGTGAGATTTCAAACTACTTGAATCTTTTTAACTAGCCTGTCTTGTGAATAAATACACATGAAGTACTTTGGAAGTTTATAGGAAACTGATCGATTTCACGGCGGTAATCCTCATAAACTATCAAAAACGTCCTATTGTGGGGTTCCTCATTAGTGGGTACCCATGATCTCATCAAGTCACACTATGCCAAGAATTATTAGAAGTAGGAGGATTTTGACTGTTGCATTTTGACCCACTGGCTCAGTGGTAACATGTTAGCCACAAAGCTTGAAGGCCTTAGGTTCAACCCCTTGACGGTGTTATGGGTGCGCACTACTAAGGAATTCCACACTAGGGCGAAACAGCTTCCAGGTGCTTCCAGATTTTTATTGATTCTTTAACTGAAAACATGGAATAGTTTTAAAACAGCTTCATGGTACTATTATTTTAATATTATTCGTATCTTCTATAACAAGCCATGACAGTTTTCCAGGTTTGTTTTCTGAAAACTTTTTTAATCTAGTTCCTAAATAGTAGTGATTTCTTCCATATAAACATTAATAAATAAAACGGAAAATTTTTTAACGATATAAGCACCAAAAATAAACCCTTAAGTTAAAGTAACAATACAGAGGAAGTGAGTCAAATAACACCAAAGATAACAGTAAGAATGATAAATCGTATAGAAGGATATGAATAAAATACTTGGATAACTAATAATTGGTGACTAGTACAACTAAAAAGTAATGTATAAAGAAACTAATTCATTTTCATTTAGTCAATAACCATGCTGTAAATATTAGACTGTAAATAATAATTGAACTTCTCAATAGCTTCTGCTCATTTCATCATCATTATCATCATTATCAACATAGGACCAGGCATTACTGCGTAACGGTCCGAGTTGCCACACCTCATATCAGCACATCAAGTAAAAAGGTAGTGAGGTGAAGGATGAAGATAAGTGAATGCAGTCAAAAGAAATATAAAGTATGAGAAGAAAGGAAAGAGGAGTGAGAAAATAGTGAGATTCGGTATAGCGTTGTTAAGTTCTGCTCATTTAGACTATGCAGTTAGACTTTTTAAAGGACTGAGTAACTTCCTGAGTTTATTACATTATATTTATTAATTTGTTCCTTGGGTTCCTAATGGAACATAGGGATTCAGTAACACGTCTCCATTCCGCTCTCTTCTCTGAAATCTTTTCAACCTGGCTCCATGACAGCCCACAAGCTTTCATTTCTTCCTCACACCATCTCCTCCATATCATGCTCACCTAGAACGCGCAACTCGTCGTTTCCCATCTGGGTTCCACTCGAGTACCTGGCGGGTGATGTCCCCCAGTGGTCTTCTCAGTGCATGCCCAATCCATCTCCACTTTCTTCTTCTGCATATTTGTTAAGTGATAGGTTCTTGCTTCGTTGGTTCGTCACCAGCCAGAGTTCCTTGTTGTTTATTCTTTCCAGTCATCTGATCTTCAGTATCGAGTGAGCGTAGGTGGCAGTTGTTGCTGACGTATGTCTGCAGTTTGTTGGAAATGCTTTTCGTGAAGCGCCAAGTCTCTCAACCATCATATAGAAGCACTGACTAGACGTTGGTGTTGAAAATCCGGATCTTGTTCCACATGCTGAGTGCAGAAGATCTCCACACTGGTTTCAGGTAAATGAACGCCTGTCTTGCTTTTCCGATCCTAGCTTTGAACTTTCTGGGTTTACTTGATATATGTTCTGAATGAATGTAACCAAATGATTAATCATCAACCATAAATAAGAGAAAGAGAACTTCTACAAAGTCTGGATGTTTACTAATTTCTCATAGATGATATAAATCTCTCTAACATATATTTATTAATGAATTTTTAAACTACATCTTGTCTATCTGATGGATAAAAAGAGGTTGGTTTCTTAGGCATGAATTGATGATTTGTATTAGCTTTATTTTGTAAACATTACCAGGTTAAGTGGAATTAAATTAGCCACTTATACTCTAGTTTCCGTTGAAATAAGAAATATCGAAATCCACAATTATTAAAAACTGTAAAAACAATCATTATTCACAATACGACTTTACGATAATCCAATGTAATATGATCAAGTGATTATGAAAGTCCGTTTTAGAACTCCTTAACTAGAAAAATGAAACTTAACTGTGTGAAATTTTATCTTTCAATTAACCTCGACACGATCAGTATGTATAAAAGAACGACTACCAATATCCAGTATGTTGCTATGTATGCTTTATGCGGCGTTGTTAACATTAGTGGTCATTATTCGGTGCAAATAGTAGGAGAAATGAGTAATTTCAGTTAATTTCTTCATTTATTGTGATATTTTTCATATTTATTAGCATAGTACACCGTTCACACTAAAAGTTCTTAGAAAAAAGTAGTTTTAAATATTTATATGCTGAAAAAACAGGGGTTTCCGCGTGGAACTACACAGTAATAATCATGATTAAGTTATCTAGTTGAAGTATTCGGTAGGACAAAACATTTCATCATCAACATTGGGAACCACTCATAGATAAGCAAAATTAGTTTTGCCTTTTCTAATAGTTCTCTGACTTATGTCAGTTAGCCCATCTTTTGTCAAAACGCCATCGAAATAAACAGCATGATAACTCATAAAGAAAATCTGCCACCATCAACTAGCCACTTTCGAACAGTCGGTTGATGGAGTGAAGTTCCTATCTATTGACGTGACTACCCTTAACTGGTTGCTGAAGATTACTGAAATATATTTTGGTGAAATTCAGCTTTTCAATGACAGCTGACGCAATTCATTTTTAATAGTCGAAAATGTAGAGCGTAGTTTCCTACTCATAGAATAAGAAGCTCCACATGTGAATAAAGGCCTCGTGTATGATTCAAATCACTAAGCTTACCGTCAATAAATAACCCTACCTTTTAGAATAACATGATATTCTAAAAAAAAATTCTATTGCTTCAACTTCTGAGGAAATAACCTTCATAAACTTTACGTCTGCATATTAGGTACTTTTTGTCCCAACAGATTGTTTTGGCATTTCTTAATTCAGACCAAAAATGATATTCTTATGAGACTACAGGGTTTTTACTAGCTATAAACCACTATTCTTCTGCGATCCCCACCAGCTGAAACATCACAGGACATGAAAATATGATAGAATGTAGTACATTGTGACACCGTATCCTCCACTTGAATTGGACCAATAAATATCCCACTTGTACCGCAAGTGGAATAGGTAGATTGAAGTGAAAGGAGTTAGATAAACATCAAAAGTTGTAGAATTAAAATACTAAAGCTACTATTGGTTGTATGATAAAATCTAACTTTTCAGTCTGTGTAAGATCAAATCTTATGGTAAACGGAATGTATGATTACTTACGACGAGCTGTTTTTATTGCAACAATATCACTGTAAGCACTTTGGCTAATTCCATTAGTAGATCGAATGCGAAATCGATAGGTTGTATTCAGATGTAGGCCTTCCAGACGACAAACATGTTCAGGACCAGTGTAAGCGACCTTTAAAATAAGAAAACAGTTTGACAGTAAACATTGTGTTCAGTATTAAGGTTGGGTACAGATAAACAGAACAGTGAATTTCGAATATATTCAGAATAACGACAACAAGGGTAGGACACTACCTCCAATAGATGACAATTTAGGCACCGAACAGCTATGTGATTCTCTCAGATGGATTTAAGTACTTCAGTAGTATTTTGAGAAAAAAATATACTCTCATAGTGACTCTAAAATGTATCCAAAATACCCAGCTACTTGTTCGAAAACTTTCACTTAAGATAACTTGACCAATGCTACAGATCTCTAAACTCAGCTTAAATAGCAAGCTATATGTATTGCTTATAGGGTGTGATGCTATCTGATTGTCTGAACTTCAGTGGATGCAGCAAGGTTTGGATGCACCATGTAGTTCGAACTATTTATATCATTCAGTGAAGTGCATCAACACTTTTGTTCTGCGGATCAACTTCTATGTTCTTAGTTGTTGATACAATGGTTGCTAGATGAAGAATGCTCTTATTTAAGTATTTTAGGCTTTGTGAAGTTTTATCAATAATTCAGAAACCGTTTCATCATTCTAAAGTGATGAACTGCTTGTAAGGATTGAAGTTTTACTATCATTTTTTAACATGAAGGGATGCAATCAACTTGTTTGTAATATACATCGTTTCCTTGACAGATCGACGAGTTTTAAGTTTCTTGTTTGGGCAACAGATGTTTTAACCTGGAGGTTTGTGGAGACATAGTAATTAACTTCAGGTTGGGATTCATCATGCGCTGACATCAGTTGAAGAAACACTGAAAACCTGAGAGCACTGAACAACTGTTTCGTTCAGAAATCAGATTCCTCTGCATTGCGCGCCTATGACCCCACCCATAGGGCTGGAACCCGGTATATTCAAGTTCAGCGGTCACTTGTTACCAGTGAACCACTGGGTCGGAATCCATTGATCCATATTTCCTGCTTCTGTTAGTCCACAATATAGCGCGACCTCCATTCAATGTCGTCGTTGAGTAACTGTCCTCATGTTCAACTTGGTTGGCTCCACTGGTCGCGCTTTATCGTGAACTGACAGGAGCAGGAAATGTGAACCTTTAGATCCCAACTCTTTGGCTCAGTGGTGACGTGGCCACGGAACCTGAAGGTCCTGTATTCGACTCGTGATGTGTGGGATCATGGGGTGTGCACTTCAGAAGAGTCCCACCCTAGGAAAAAACAGTTGCCCAGTTTTCCCAGGTTTCCAATGTCCCCCCAACTAACATCAGTTCATGATGAATTCCAATCTGAAAAAATGTTTTTAACTAGCAGAAGAGATGCCACTCTCAAAACCCGCTATTGGTATGTACAGCTTTCTATTTCCCCATAAATATATATCTCCATTTTGGATTGACTGAGGAGCTCATTCTCTTAAAATGAATGCCATCCATCTTGTTATCATATACTGAAACTCATTTTGGTATGTAGTGTCGTTAGTATTCACATGTAGTTATTGTACCCTGTAGTAATGCAGCATTTAGTTAATCATATTGGTCATAATCTGTTTTCATTCATTACTGAGGTAGTAAGTGTTTATTTGTTGTTGTTAAGAGGATTTGTGAATAGTCATGGTAGTTAAATGTCAGTTAGAAGTCGATGAACCCATGGTATAATAAGACTAGAGTAAATGTGATAAATAAACAGAATATAAGAGCAATTGAAGTTGATATTGGCTTAAATTGACGGTATGTACATCTCGTCAATGAAATTATACAGCCATTCGGATAGTAATGTCTTGCTTCATCAAAACTTAGCTAAAACTACAAAGATTTATCCATTTTCCCTTAAGAATCACTAACGATTTGTGTTAAAATTACTGGTTGAAAACAAGGAAAACTGACATGCAGTTTTTTGTCAGCTCTCCTTATGAAATATACTAGCTAGTCTTTAAAAGTGAAGCTCATGTCTGGACATTCTGAGTAAACTAGGAAGTTTCCAACTGATTAACATCTAGTAACTAACACAGTAATACCATAAGTATGACATTAGAATTAAAGTCTTCAGTGTTTGCAGCCTACTACTATCAGTCAATGAATCTGAATCCAATGGTTCGTTATATTTTAAGTTCAGATGACTTGCTGTCCAATGTGTCCATAATCTAATTTTATCTGTCACCTGCCAACTCCTTTATTTCCTTTGGCTTTACAAGTTATAATTCCCTACTGGAATTTCGGGAAGTATATCTTAAAGTATGTCGTCAATTAGTGAAATATTTGCTAAATGAAATACACATTTGTGTCAGTGAATGAACAGAGTATATATATATATATATATATATATATATATATATATATATATATCCACTAAACAGCAAAGCACAGCGCAACGCAGTATCGCTTCAATCAGCCTCGTGTGATCACATTGCAAAAATTGATTGTTAGACTTCAATCAGTGCTAAGCACTAAGAACTGGATGGACACATCGGTTACTCACTGGTGACCAATTCGAGTAATACCATATTCACCTATCAACCTGGATATATATATATATATATATATATATATATATATATATATATATATATATATATATATATACAGTTCCTAGTGCTTAGCACTCATTGAAGTCTAACAATCAAGTTTTGCAATGTGATCACACGAGGCTGATTGAAGCGATACTGCGTTGCACTATGCTTTGCTGTTTAGGTCTGGAAGTCAACAGGTAGAAAATGGTTGCGTCCGCCGCTGCTCTAGAAATTTAACTTTCTGCGCTGGCGAACAACTTCCAATAGGGTTAATTGGAGATGTTGTAAGGACCATTACCAGCTGCATATTAGCACACTTGGTTGAAACGAACCATAAAGTGGATATGAGTCAGCCGTTTTACATTCTGTATCGCGTTCCAATCAAACTCAAAAAGGCACTCAACTCCGGATCCTTCAAACTCCAGAAGCAGTAGCATTCAGGATCAAAACATCCTGGTTGTATGTTCAAAAGAAACAAGTGTTTCCTCTACAATCACCATGACCCTATTCGGTATACATAAACTCGTTAACATCCTGACCCAAATAATCAAATTCCATACTGTGGATACTCCTTTTTCCCTATAACCTGGAATAATTTTCACTAACTCTTTTAACCTATTTTGTCCTTCTCGGTTTATTTCATCCAATTGTCACAAACGCCTTCCTATTATTTTATTAGACTATCACGTACATCCATAAGTCGTATAATCATTCAGATAATGAATCATTTTGAATTGAATATCAATAAGAATTGGTTCTATAATAAACGTTCACCCACGACTTTTCTCAGTTGATTTCGCCAACTGCATAATACTACTAACAAACTGACGAGGGGAATCTCTATATTTTTTACGTGTAATTCTTCATTATGTACATATAACTGTAGAATTTGGAGGAGAAGTTGTCGAAAAGAATATTCTTTGTCCACTGAAATGAATTCTGAATAAGAAAATACTTTAAGTATATTTCTAACGTTAATAATAATATCTGCTTTATTCTATACAGTATGTGTGATACAGCATGGAATTCTCAGCATATCATATTTCAACAAGTTCGCTCTCTGTACAGTATTTTTAAACGAAATAATTATTGGATATTACTATCTGGTTTCGGCTGCTGAGTGAATAAAAAATAGAGCAACATTTTGATAGTGGTAGTTTATTCAGCCAGTACAAAAATCTACAATTCTGCATAGATATCCTAGAAATAATGATGTGTTGTATTTTCGCGTAGTTGTAAGTCCATTTCATACCGGCTTAACGCTTTTCTTCTGTTTTGTTATTGACGTGAAAAACTATAGTTTAAAAGACATATTTACAAGATAAAAAAGAATTGAAAGGGAAGAATTCGATGGAACATTTTTGATAGCCTAATGTTTAAACAGGCCACCGTCTATGATGTTTCATCTACATAAACCACTAACATATAACCTTTTAAGGCGATCACTGCTTGCTAAGTAAGCTGGCTGCATTAGTTAATCAGTCTCTCGTTACTAAAATGATATAAATCATAGAAAAGTCATCATTCAATCATTTAGTTTTGCGGACTGTACTCTATCTACTTGATACAGAACAAAATTCAACACTTACATAGGCGTATTCACGAGAATTTTTGCCACATTAATATGTTCATCTATACACAGCATACTTTCTACCAAGCAACGGTCAGATTTTTGAACAGTTTTCAAATATTTTATGGTTGTACTTGTCAGTTTGAGTTCCTATCATATTGGTTAAAAAAGCTAAATATTGTCCAGTTGAATAAAAAAATAATTTCTTGCGGAAATTAATTAGCTGATAGTTACGTTCACTTTATCACTGCTATCTAAATTTTATCAATCGAATGACATTTATTTGTTTACGGAACTAAGTATAGAACAGTGGTGTAAAATATTTACCATTAGCGTATTTTGAGGTTTTGAACTTATATTACTCGCTTGTTATCATTATTCATCACCACGATGTGTTTAAAATACTTGGAATCTCACCTACGCTCTTAAATCCATAGTCACACTCTTTATTATAGAAATATCTGATTGTTGTAGGTATGCGCCTGGCTGTCATCTAGTTTTTTAGATAGACAGACCAACAAAACAATACAAGATCTGGCAGAAAAAAAGAAACAAACTTAACTGAAGATTGTTAAATGTTGCGAAGTTTGAAGATGGTAAATATGTACATGTGCGAAAATCTCTCTTCCAAATAAGAACTTTAGTACGACAGGGTTGAATGATCGGAACAGAAAGCGTATCTATGAAAGTGAACACTACTTTGTGGATGTAAGTCCATTCATACTCAAGAGAACTGATGTCATGTACCCAACACTCAGTAACAGATTTTTTATTGATTAGATTATGGATTCGCTAACAATACACAAATACAACTAGTAGAGCTATAGCTCATTCGATTAGGTACTCAATTTTCGACAAGTGGGTTACATTTTCAAATCCCCACTCAGCTTGTCTAAAGTGTAAGAAACCAGTTAGTCTGATAACCCTAA